GTTCCTTAGATTTAGAAACTGACCAGCAGTGAGTAGCTGCACGATGCTGTGAATCTGATGTAAATCTGACTGATGTAACGAGTGATTCAGCAGAGTATGGGTATTTCCCTTTAAGGCTGGAGGGTAAAGTTTCCTTAAGAGGTGTGTGTATAAAAGGCAGCTATTAGAGGGCGTAGTTCTCTTTCCTTGTGGCCAGTATTCAGTGCAGAAGTTTTCCTTGTGTTAGGAAGTAGAAAAGCTTGCTTGTGAAGGTATTTTGCTACCACGTGTATATTATCTGTATATACCTGTTGTATATTAAATCACTGTTAATGTCTAAGTCTCTGTGTGCTGTGTGTTACTCCTGGGTTGTCTCATAAAGGTAGTCACGCTGCCAAACGCTCTGACATCCTTTTCCTTCTGAAGAAATTTGAGTATGATTATTTTGAAAGTATAAATATGTGTTTACCGAGCAGGGTGGGGTTCACATAGGATCAGGCAGTCTACAGATTTTGATTCCCAAAAGCTGCTCTGAATTATTTAAGGACAGGATTGTAGCACATCTGTGCAACTCTTTAAACCAGCTACATCCTTTCATCCAGTTCTGTGGTTGCTCTCTGTATTCCCAGGTACAAAGGTCACTGAAACAGCATTGCTTGGCTTTCTCACATTTCTGCCTTCAAGCTTGGAGATGAAGTATCTGACCTTGGAGGAAGCAGCTTCACCTAATTTTGACCTTCACTGCCCATCCCTGCAGTTGGCATATCCTGAATGTAGCAGTTCATGAATCTGGAAAAATCTTAAAATGTGCAAGTCATACTCATAACTTGCAAACATGGAGGAAAAATCATTTTTTTTATTTTTTAGATGGGAGGGAGAACATTGAATCATTGTAGCTTTTCTAGAGCAAAAAGTCTGGAGAGATTCTCAGTCATCCAGATCGGGGTCACCAACCTTTTGGACCTCAGGGACCACCAAACTCATAATTTTAGATCACAGGGACCACTAACTGGTTCTGTGGGTGTGGCCTAATTTGTGGGTGTGGCTTGGTGGTCATGTGACTGGCTGGGCATGGCTTGTATGTAAGTATAAATATTTATATAAATATTGAAAAGAGCAATTTTTACCCAAAATCAGGCAAAGCTGGGAGGCAGATTGAGTTGCTCACAGAATCGCAGATTCATTCAGAGATCTATCTATCTGCCATCGGCTAGCTCAGTCAGTCATAAAATTTGCTCGCAAGCAAACTCATAAAATTAACTCACAACACACCATGCATGTAAATATTGAACTTTTTATTTTTTAAAAAGAGCAACTTTTACCCAAAATCAGGCAAAGCAGGCAGATTGAGTTGCTCACAGAATCATTCAATGATCCATCTATCTATCTGCCATCAGCTAGCTCAGTCTCTCAAATTTACTTGCCATGAGTCTGCACTGAATTTGCTTGCAAGCAAACCTTCAGTCCTAAAGGAGGTTCGGCTGTGCTGAGCTGAAGATCTAAAGACTAGCTAGAAAGCAAGAAATCCAACCATTTCCTGCTTTCTAGCTAATCTAAATCTCCCGGCACAGACAACAGATGATGGTCAGAAAAAGGAAAAATAAAAATTTAGCAGGCAAGTTTACCGGGTAAGGAGTGAGTGGGTGGGGAGGGTTCCCACGGGCCATGTGGGCGGCGCAGCAGTTGTGTTTCTGCACAGCCTGGATTAATTGCTTTGGGGGGTTGCTCTTGGGGTGAGGTTTCTCTGTGGCCCACCAAAATTTTCTCACGGCCCACCAGTGGGCCGCAGCCCACTGGTTGGCGACTGCTGATCCAGATCATGGTTGTCCCAAAGGTGCTTTTTCAGAAGGCAACTGGACTTTTTTCTTTGAAGATATTTCACTTCTCATACAAGATGCTTCTTCAGTTGACAGGATAGTGGGGAATGGAAGGATTTATATTCCTTGCAGACAGCTGGTCATTTGCATCCTTTTAGAGGGTCATTGAAACACTTGGAGGTTTATCTGTGTCCTCAGGGTCACCTGAGTAGTGCTACTGGTTCCTGTAGTCTGCAATTTTTTTCTGGAAATTCAGAGAATTTCTAGAGCAGTGTTTTCCAACCTTGGCAGATGAAGATGGGTGGACTTCAACTTCAAGAATTCCCTAGCTAGCCATGGTGGCTGGGGAATTCTGGGAGTTGAAGTCCACGCATCTTAAAAGTGTTGGGGTACACTAGAAGTCTACTAGCATGTCAGGATGACTTTTGTTCAGATCTGTACTTGAGTTTCCTTAGAGTGGGTCAGAAAATTCAAGATGGTGGTGGCAATGGTGTGGTTTAAGCCAGGGGTCTCCAACCTTGGGAGCTTTGCTGGCTGAGGAATTCTGGGAGTTGAAGTCCACAAATCTTAAAGTTACCAAGGTTGAAGACCCCTGGTTTAAGCCATGCCCCATGTATAAAGGGCAGGGCCTTGGTCAAACTATCATGGTCATCATCTTGACTTTTTTGACCCTGTTCTCTAGTAATTCTGTTGTGGTTCTGTTCGAAATTTGAGGATTGCAATCTCTGTGAACAAAATTTAATGTGCGAGATGAATTTTCTTCTGCCGTTGTAAGTAAAGAACATGGTTTTCTCTTCCATCAGCGTAATTAAGTTTTTGTAGTTAAGCAGGTCAGATTTTCTTGAAAGTCTTTAGGCTTAAATGAATCTCGTTGGGATTTTATTTTATTTTTTGGCTTCAACTTCCTGTTAAATCTGGTTTATCAAACGACTGCATAGATATTTGATGTTAGATGTTCAGATTCTTTTTTGAGATCAATCAGAAAATGGACGGCTGCTTATGATCACTGGTGAAACCCCCCGACATGAATTTGGTCCAGAAGTTTCTGTGAGGTGAGGAAAACCACTCATTGAATTCTGAGATTAATGTGCTGACTCTGTTTCCTAATGCCTGTGAATTGACCCAACACAAGAAATCAGTTTTAAGTTTTATTGTTCACTGTGGTAAACTAAATTATATTTTGTTGGCCCAGTGATATTTAAAAATCTGAGAAATTATCTTGCCCAAAATTAACCCAGTAACAGAATTTTGAAAAGAAAAAAAAACTTTTGAGTAAAGGACAAATTCATATTTGATCAATATTTATTAGGCAAGTTATTAAATGTTAGTGGTCTGTCAAATCTTGCACCAGCCAATTGATGGAGGAGTCGGAGGTTAGAACAAGAGCAGTGGATATAGCCTTCCTGTCTTCTCTTGTGCCACACAACCTACAGGTTTCTGGGAAGCGTCATTGGAAGGAGTGGTGATGTTAATGTGGTCACAGTTTCTCCAAATTTCACTCCCACAGGAGTCATGGGTTCTGGCATTATGTAAGTTAGTCCATTTGAATTACCTTGGTTCAATCATTGTTGCTCTATATTGTTAAAGTATTGAGATTTAATAGCTGACCAGTTGTTGTAAGGCTGATGCAATGAGGATGAATCAGCATGGTTATTGCCACTTTAAGACTGAGGATGGGTCTACAGGGTTCTACCACTTTAAGAAGCTGTCTATATGAGGCCATGAGAGGGCCTACTTCTTTCTCCGTGTGTTCTGTCTCCATTGTGGTTCTCTGTGCAGAGTAAAGACGATTGATTGATTGTCAGGTATTTGCCTACCACGTATATAGCTGTCTTGTATATAAACCACTGTTAAAAGACAAAGCCTCTGTGCTGTGTTTTGTTCCTGGGTTGTCTCACAATTGTGGTCACGCTGCAAACACTCTGACATACACCTCCAATTTCACCCAGTTGGTTGTTACAAATAGACCAGAGCGTTTTAGTAATATATAGATAGAAGAGTTTTTAGTAGTATATAGATAGATTCCAACCGAAGAGAATATTTGTAGGCTGTGGTTGAATTGTGAAATCCTTGGTGCTCTCTGTGTTGGGTTGTTTCCTGACTCAACTCTGTAACATCAACAGTGGATGGGATGATGATGATGATGACAGAGAGCATGTCAATAAAGGGAGTTCTCGATTTACAACAGTTCATTTAGTGAAAGCTCAAAGATACAGTGGCACTGACATGACTGTTCTTCACAGTTACAACCTTTGCAGCATCCCCATGATCACCTGTGATCAAAATTCAGATGCTTAGTAACTGTTTCATATTTATGTCCGCTTGCTGTGTCCCAAGGTCATGTGATCCCCTTTTGCGACCTTCTGACGAAGCAAAATCAACGGGGAAGTCAGATTCACTTAACAACTAGGTTACTAACTTATTAACCACACTGATTCATTTAACAATTGCAGCAAGAAAGACCGTAAAATGGGGCAAAAGTCACTGAACAAACGTCTCACTTAACACAAATTTTGGGCTCCGTTGTGGTCGTAAGTCGAGGACTACTTGTAGTGTTTCCTAATTGGGTCATGAGACACGTGCAAGATAGGCAGCCAAGCTCAGAAAGCACCAGGTTATTGTTTAATAAATTCTGTATACCAATGACAACTAAGAGCTTATTGGAATGGTTCTTGAAGTAATATTTCAAAATACCTTAAAAGGTTAGTTACTAATTAAAAGTGACAGAAGGGCTGATAGCACAAATTGGTGTTGATCAGAAAGGGTGGCATCAGAAAAGCCATTAGGGAGAATAAAACAAACTTTAATCCTGTGGACTAGCAGCTTTTTACATGTGGCTGAAAGGATGGGGTTAACAAGATAATGCTGATAAGTGAGAAGTTTCCCTTTGAGAGGTAAACATTTTTTTTAGGTTTTTTTTTGGGGGGGGGGATCAGATCCATCCTTTTACTTATCTTGAATTGCTGTTACACAATTATTTCGCAGTTGAGATGGGATCTTCCTTTGGGCCAGAGGTTGGTGGTCTTCCATTGACCCCTTTCTCATTCCTGTTTGCATCAGCTCGCAAAAAAGTCCAGCGTATCTCAGGAACAAGCCACAAATTGTGGATTCTTGAAAATTCTCTTGTGGTGATTTCACAATGGATGGAGCTGTGCACATTGCTTATTAAAGATATTTTTTTTTCTTTCTTTCTCCCTCTTTCAGAAGAAAATGAAAAACATGAAAAACTCTGCCAGGAGCGTGAACAGGAACAGAAGAAGGCCAGCGTGCAAAGGGTTAACCATGTCGCCCAGCCGGAAGAATCCCACAAAGACCTCCAGGCTCTCCCTTTGTCTCCGCCCACTCCAGCTCCTCCCCCTCCTCTTCCCCCCTCCCTGGCAGCTCCCATTTCCGTCATCCCCATCCCGGTCGTCACCAGCCCCCCTCAGCCAGCCCCCCAGAGTACCTTGTCCCCCCCACTTATCCAGCGGCACTCACCCATGTTAAACATGGGTCTCAGTAAGGAGCCCCCGCTGATGGCCCCCGTGATCCAGAAGACTTCGGGGTCCCTTCTTCCGGACATCAAGGTCCCCACACCCCCTTCGGCCAGCCCCAGCCAGCTGCCCCACTATGCCACTTCCGTCTTGGCTATTTCTCCACATCATATGGCCCAGCCGCCAATCAAGCCCCAGCCCCCTACCCACCAGCCACTCCTCCCGCATCACGTGCCTCCACCACTCAACATCAAGGTGAACCCGTTAGAAGAGGCCAAGCCCAGCGAGCAAAAGAAGAGACCTGGCGGGTGAGTAGAAGGGCCTGTGTGCAGCTCTGGGCCGCGTGTGTTTCAGGACATGTGGTCCTCGACTTACAGCCGTTCGCTGAATGAATGTTCCAAGTTACCACAGCCTCGGAAAAAAGGTGATTTATGACCTGCATTTGCATTATGACAGCTGTACCACCCTCGTGGTTACACGAGGGCAATTTGCAATCAAGCCCACCCTGGATTTATTACCAATTACAATATCCTGCAATCCCATGATCTAAATGTACTGTATTTTTTGGACTATTAAGACGCACCGGACTATAAGACGCACCTTGGTTTGCAGGAAGAAAACAAGAAAAAATAGTTTTTGGCTTCCGCGCATCCTGTTTTTGCTCTCCCCATTGTCCAGAAGGACTCTGCAGACCAAAAACGGGCCTGTATTTGCTTTATAAGATGCCCAGACATTTCCACCCACTTTTCGGAAGGAAAAAAGTGCTTCTCATAGTCCAAAAAATACGGTATGTCCTTTTTTGCTAATTTCAGGCAAAAAAAAATGCCTGAAGAAGCATTGTAATGAAGAAGCTGGATTTGATTTATGATAGTGTGATTTGCTTAGTGACTGTGATGATTCACTTAATGACCACTGTAAAAATCCTTGTAAAAATTCAGCCCGATTTCACTTACAACAGCAGTGATTTATTTACAGAAATTCCCGTCTCAATGGTGGTCGATTCAGTCCCGTAATACAGAAAAGGGTCTGGTCTCTTCCGTATAAAATGGCCTTCTCTTCCGTTAAGGGAAGGAAGGATGAGAATAAAGGAGAAAAAAGAATTATTATTATTATCATAATCCTCACTGCCATCTTCATGATTAATATCACTCCTGAGTGGTTTGCCCGGCTGCAGCAGACCTGGGGGCTGCATTCACCCAGCATCCTTACCCTTATGGAGTTAATCCATCTCCTGAGCTTGCACAACCAAGTAGTTCAGTGGGCGGTATTCACACATGTCCTAAGATCCCCTTCTGTGTTTTGAACTGACTTGGTTAAGGAGGTTGTTGTGTGCATTGACACTAGAAAGATTTGGGAGATAGAACGAGCTATAGGTCGTCTTCATTTAGGTACCTAAGACATAGCGGCACTAAACAAAGTGACTCACAATTGGTCCTTGTAACCTTCCCATGGTCATGTGATCATGATTGGGTTTTCGGCTATTGGCATGTATTTGTGACAGTTGTACTGTCCTGGGGTCACATGATCACCATTCGCAACCATCCCAGCCAACTTCCAACAAGGAAAATCAATAGGGAAGCCAGCAGGGAAGGTTATAAAGCAGGGGTTCCCAACCTGGGGTGCGAGACGATATTCCAGGGGGTGCGAGAAAAGTCCAGGTAAATAATAGGATATTGGCTATATGTTGGCATTTTTATTTATTATGCAATGGATTAACTTTGTTTTCATTTTAGAGTTAAGTATCGTTATTTAGTGGCCGTCACATACATAGCTGAAAATATTCAATCCTACCATATATTTAACGCGTTCAGTAGTTCCTAAAGTCTAAATTTCAGGGGGTGCGAGGTTCGAGTGAAATTTCTTTAGGGATACGGGGCGAAAAAAAGGTTGGGAACCGCTGTTTTAAAGAGTGAGCACATGATGTCTCCCTTAACTACCGTGTTTCCCTTGAAAAGAAGACCTACTCCGAAAAGAAGAGTTATCCTGTTTTTAAACGCATGTGCTTAAAATTAAGCCCTACCCCCAAAATTAGCCCTACTTAAGTGCCTGCGCAGCCAGTTGCCTGCCATTTCCTCTGGTTGCTTGCAGTGGCGAGAGCATGAGGTGAGGAGACAAGGTGGGGAGAGGGGGGAACTTGCCCCACACGCCCTTACCTATCGATCACACCAGCCATCCTCACGAAAGAGCCCCTTGGAAGCCACTCCACATGCATGCGCCCCGCCCCTGCATGCGCCCCGCCCCCCAGCATGTGCGGCAGAGATCTGAAAACCAGCTGGCCAGCGGGAGGCGCATGCACATGTGCGGCAGAGCTGAGGTGGGGCGACGGCTTGCATGCCCACAGAGAAGGCTCTGCTTGCCACCTCTGGCACGCGTGCCATAGGTTCGCCATCACGGTTCTAGTTCAACCCCCTGCCCAGTGCAAAAACCCTCCTTCCATTCTAACCAAATGGCTGTCCGGTCTTTGACATCGCGAGAGCCATGGAACAAAACACTCCTTTGTAGAGAATTGGTCTCAATTTTCAGTGTTCAGAGCTATCACACACGTACTAATGCTAGCGGCTGAAATTGTATACCATTTGGGTTTGGTGGTTTTCTGCAGTTTTTTTAAACTGGCCATTGTGGGAAGCAGATGCCTGAACTAGAACAACCAGCCTTCTCCAGCCTGGTGCTCTCGAAATAGGCTGAGGCTGGACTTCCCAGAATCCCACCCTGTCTTTTGTCTCAATTGGCAAGGGGATTCTGGGATCTGAAGTCCCAGCCTGTGTGAAAGACACCAACTGGGGGGGAAGATCCAGTAATGCACACGTGACCAAGCATGTGGAATACCTGCAGAGATGCCAGGAAATAAGCTAAAGTAGTGGGCCCCAACACCTCCCGCTTTGCAAACGGGCAGATATGGTGGTGGTGAAGGGACAGGGGGTGGTTCTGCCTGAGCAGCAGGTTAATTAGCACACATGGTTTCATTTATGTGAGCGGCGGGCCCACCACTCGTGCAAATGGAGCTGTGTGTGCACACACATGCTTGCCGCTTGCACTAGTGGAGCTGCACGCATGCGCCCTCATCCGCGGCTTTTGCAGCCTGGTTTTGAACAGGCCGCAGCCCGCAAGCTAAAGTAAACGATGCCAAATCTAATATGTACGTCGGATTCCCTTCAGAATTCCTGAGAAGTTCCATTTTTGCCTGATGTTTTTTCCCCTTGTGGTTCCTAAAATAATCTCGCCTTGTGTGATCGTGATGACACATTTCTAATGTCCTGGATTTTCCTTGTCAGAAACAGGGTGCAAGAGCCGCGCGTTTCCCTCAGCAGGTTGCCTGCAAACAACAGATGCATTTGTTACCAGGGCAACAAGGATGTGGCAATCAGTGCGCCATGCACATCTTGCGTGTCTGTGATGTGGGACTGGGTGTGTTTGGCTCAATGAGGCTGCAAGAGTCTGCAGTCCTTCTGAATTGCTTCAAGAAAAATGAAGGGAGAAGATACAGGTTGCCCTCGACTGGAAACCATTTGTTTAGTGACCACTTGAAGTTATAGCGGCACCGAAAAATGTGACTTATAATCATTTTTCACACTTACGACTGTTGCAGCATTCACCCCTGGTCATGCGATCACCTTTTATAATCTACCCAACCAGCTTTTGACAAGCTAAAGCAATGAGGGAATCCAGATTTGCTTAACCATCACATTACAGGTAGTCCTCGACCACAATTGAGCCTAAAATTTCTGTTGCTAAGTGAGACGTTTGTTAAGTGAGTTTTGCTTCATTTTATGATCTTTCTTGCCACAGTTGTTGATTGAATTGCTGCAGTTAAGTTAGTCACACTGTTGTTAAGGGAACCTAACTTCCCCATTGACTTTGCCTATCAGAAGGTTACAAAAGGAGATCACTTCACCGCACAGTGATCATAAATATGAGTCAGTTTGCCAAGCAGGTGGATTTTGATCCTGTTACCATGGGGATGTTGCCATGGCCATAAGTGTGAAAAGCAGTTTAAAGTCATTTTTTTCAGTGCTATTGTAACTTCGGTCACTAAATGAACTGTTGTAAATAGAGGACTTCACAACTACTATGGTGAAAGGGTCAAAACTCACTTAACAACCGCTTTGCTTAGCAATGGAAATTTTGAGCTCAATTATGGTCATAAGTCGAGGATATCTAACCTGTACATGTGCAGGCACACCCTCCTTACGAAATAAAATACTTCCTTTCTACTGCTTTTAACAACACTTTGCAGAGTGTAAAAATTAAGATGCTTTCTCTTCCAGAAATATTTCTAATTTTACAACTTGGCTGCTTGGCAATGACTTTGCTTTTTCTGATATTTTGTATTTTAGAGTTGGCACCCGAGAAGTCCATAATAAATTGGAGAAGAACAGGTATGTACCTTTTTTCAATTCCAAAACAATCATCTTTTCACATACAGTAGAGAAAGTTTTGAGTTTTCCAAAAAGGATGTTTTCCAGTTGTTCTTCTGAACATACAAAGATTCCTGAGAATATCGGTTGTGCTTTGTGAATGTGCCAAAAAAGAAACTGTTCGGTTAAAGCACCATGCCAAACCATGATTTGCACTAATCATGGTTTGCATTTCTCGAAGTCAGTATACAAACCAAGTGTGAAGCTGCTTGTCTGCTTTTTTACCTCACATCTCTCCAAATTTGTGCAAAACAGTAGCTATAGGTGGTTTTGCCTACTTGGATGCCGTATCAATGTGCTATGTGTAAACTATGTTAGATGCCCTCTTCAAACAATTTTTGACCTTTTTTTTTTTTCATTTTGGTTTGGCTTGATCTGTCCATCAAGCGGGTTTTAGGCCAAACTGACGTGCAAAACCACTTCCAAGCATGATTTCCAGTTTCCGAGCTGATGGTTGCACCAATAAGTGTTTACATAGCCTGGTAATGAAAATATCTCCAGAAAAACAGCCAAATTCAGAGAAAGAGAATCTGACAATTTAACCCATAGTGAATATATTCTATGAGAATTCCTGTTTTGGGCCACAGCAATGCTGACCAGTTTTTTCTTCTGTGTGTTTTGCCCTTTTTCATTTTAATAACTTCTCATTCCATGTCTTACTTTGATTTGTTGAGTGGATCAGTTCAAATGCTTTACCTCAACATGTATTCCCCCAAACCTACATTTTATCCCCTGCCTGTCATGGCCAGATTTTTTTTTCTTGCTCTGATTTGTCTCTTTCAAAGATCATCCCTGGATGTCCAAAACATCTGCTGACATTTTAAGAATCTCAACTGAGTAATTTCTTAGATGAGGTCAGCTGACCTGAGCAGGTTGGGTAGGCCGCAAAATATTTTGCATCCGCCCAGAATAGCTTCGAAACGAGATGGGTGGCAAATAAATTTAATAAATAAAGCCTTTTTATGTTAGGCAATGGAGAAGATGTGAGTTATCTGGAGCTTCTGTTGACTTTGTACTCCTGTAAGGCGGTGCAAAAAGTCAAATTTACAGGTGTGTTTATGTCTTTGGGTGTGGGGACTTTTATTTGTTCTGCTACCACACCTCCACTGGCTTCATTCAGCAGATGCCTCTGAATGAAGCAGTTGTGCAAGTTAGCTTCAACAGTCCTAAGCATTGCAACAACCTAAATCATTAGGTTTGGATTTAGTCACCTTAAGAAGCATCTGGTGCCTCCTATAAATAACATTTTTTTAAAAAATCACAAAATAATCGAGCCTACTCAGTTTTGCACAATAATTTCATGCATTAACTATATTCACCCAGAATATTGTAAAATTTGAAGCAATTTAAAAATACTTTTTAAAATTAATTTGAGACGTTCACTGAGATCACCGATGTTTCTCAGCCTTGGCCACTTGAAGATGTGTGGACTTCAACTCCCAGAATTCCCTAGACAGCAAGAATTCCCAGCTTGGGAATTCTGGGAGTTGAAGTCCACATCCATCTTCAGGTAGCCAAGGTTCACGTGGCCAAGGTTGAGAAACAAACACTGAATTAACGGTACTGAGGGGCTGTGTTGTTGTCCTACTTTAAACCTCATGCCCAATGGTTTCCTCATTTTGTGCCAATCGGCACGTCATCTTGATCAATGTCAAGATCAAGTTCATTCTGCAGGCTGACTAAATTTGGGGTTTTGTTTCTATAGACGTGCCCACTTGAAAGAATGTTTTGAGACCCTCAAGAGAAACATCCCCAATGTCGACGACAAGAAAACCTCAAACCTCAGCGTCCTAAGGAGTGCCTTGAGATATATCCAGGTAGGGCCTACAACATGGATTGTTTGGGAGGGCGGGGTTTGACTCTTTTCTGAGATGTGAAGAACACCATTGGGAGTATCAGGTGTCAATCTCGTCCAAACTGATATGTTGGGACTTCTGTTCCCAGAATCCCCTTGACCTAGAATGATAGAAGCTGAAGTTGCATGGATTGGGGAAACCCAGCTAAATATTGAACCTTCTTCCTTTTTGAAAAGTCGAAATGGCTTGTGTAGCAAAGGATAATTGAAATTAACATTATGTCATCTGCTAGGAGGGATTTTCCCACTGTCTTTCTATTTCCTGATAGGTGGAAACTTCAGGACAAGCAGACAAAGATTTCTGGTTGTGTAATATATATCTAATTAAATCAGTGTGTTGACTGGTGCTGTAAAAAAATGTCCTATGTATAATAGGTTAATGTATATGGGAAGAAGAATGTGATAAGGGATGTTCTCTGAAATTAGGTACAGCTAGTCCTTGACTTATGACCACAATCGAGCCCAAAATTTCCATTGCTAAGCAAGGAAGTTGTTAATGGAGTTTTGCCCCATTTTATGACCTTTCTTGCCACTGTTGTTAAGTGAATCACTGCTGTTGTTAAATTAGTGGCATTGTTAAGTGAATCTGGCTTTCCTATTAATTTTGCTTGTCAGAAGGTTGTAAAAAACATGACCCTGGGATACTGCAACCGTCATAAATACATGCCAGTTGCCAAGCATCCAAAGTTTGATCCCATGACCATGGCAATGCTACAACGGTCATAAGTATGAAAAATGGCCATAAGTCAGTTTGTTTCAGTGCCACTGTAACTTCGAGTGGTCACTAAACGAATGGTTGTAAGTTGAGGACTGCCTGTAATAATAGTAATCTACTACATGAAGAGATGTCATAGAGCACGTGGGTTCATTTTTCTGATTCAGAAAAGACAAGTGGAAAAGAATCAGTGGGTGGAAGCTTAAAAGAGGAAGATCCAAACTGAAAAGAAGGAGGAACTTCCTGGTTATGATTGCTACAGATAGTCCTCATCTTATAACCGTTTGTTTAGTGACCAAAGTTACTACAGTGCTGGAAAAGTGACTTACAAACAGGTTTTTTGCCCTTAAAATCATTGCAGTGTTCCCACAGTCATGTAAATGCAATTCAGGTGTGTGACAACCGTATGTATTTTTGATGGTTGCGGCATCCTGTGGCTGCATCATGGCTGTTTGTGAAGTTCCCAGCCAGCTTCCAACAAGCATGGGGAAGCTGGCAGGGAAGATCACAAATGGTGATTGTGTGGTGACAAAAAAAAAAAAAAAGTTGCAAAATCAGGGGCAGTCGTGTGACACCTAACTTAACAACTGTACTGCTTAACAATGAATTTTCTGGTCCCGATTGTGGTTGTAAGTTGAGGACTACCTGTGTTAAGCAACAGAAGAGCCTGCCTCTGGAAGTCATGGGTGCTCCATTACTAGAGGTTTTCAAGAAAAGATTGGACAACCTTTTGACTGAGATGGTTCAAGGATTCCTGCCTTAGGCAGGGTGTTGGTCTAGAACAGTGGCCTGTGTGTGGATTAAATCAAGGGGGACAGACTGGCAGCTGTGGTTTTTGACAGTGGATCAGGAATGGGTGCGGTGGCCTAGAAGTGGAGTTCTCGCCTCACAATCAGGAGGCAGTGAATTTGATCCCAAGTAGCGGCAGATATTTCTCTCTCTCGGCACACTGAGAATATATCTGGCGAATGAAACTGCATTGGTGACAGGAAGGACATCCGGCCATTAAAAAGCACTCTGCTAGCTCCATTCAGTTGCCCAGTCCACCCCGCAAGGGATTATGGAGTCGTTAAAAAGAAGATCATGATGATAGGGAGCTGTGGTTTGTCCCATTCAGATAAATGGTTAAATTTCTTGAGCTGGAATCTGATGTGGTGTCTGAAGGCTGTGGTGAATCTAGTGCAGCTGTGTTCTATTTCATGCCAACAGGTCATAGCTGTCTTCTATGTGTTGACATTAGTTGGCTGAACTGAACAACCCTTGCGTAATTGGATGTGTTGATGTACCATCCCATTAGAGGAACAGCCTTTGTTTGAAAACAGATGACAAAGTTTTTAAACTTGTGTGTTTTTTTTAACAGCTTGTGGTAGCTGAAGGGATCCTTCCTCTGGTCTCAGTGGTGTGCAGGGGAAGAGAATTTAGAAAGCAAACGTGGCATTTGTGGTGGAAGGAGGGGAAAAATATTATTGGTATATATATATTTTCAGTAGAAAACCCAGCTTGTGCCAAATGACCTTATGTATTGATTTGCTGACAGCTTGCATATGATTCTCATGGCTTACATATGCCAGAAGCTGGCGTGAAGCTATTCCTTGGAAAAGCATGCAAATATTTTTCTCATAGTGGCAGCGGCCAAAGTTTTACTCATGTTGGTTATTGAAAGTATGATTTTCACTAAAGAGAAAATCGAAAACTTCTCTACTTCGTGTTGATGTCTGCAAAAAAGGATGGGAATATAAGAGACAAGAGTCTACTAGCAAATGAATAGGGCAAGGCGGCTTTCCTGCAATCTCAGCTAACCTGTGGAACTCTCTGCCACAAGATGGTTGTCGTTTGCATAATGTAACTGACTCAGGATGCTGTTGTTCCAGGTTAAGTTAAGCCCTCACCTCTGTCAGCTGGCAGTTAAGCAGGAAGCTTAACTGTTGTAAAACCTGTTTGTGTGTTAAGTAATGTGTTTGACTTTTATCCCACTGTGTACTGTATCCTCAAATGTCCAGCAGATGTAACTCACGTTTATCAGTCAATCAAAATCAAAATCCTAATTGAATACTGGTGGTATTCAACTCCGCCACAATTGAGCCCAACATTTCTCTTGCTAAGTGAGACATTTGTTCAGTGGGCCAAATACCTGACAATCAGCTGTTGAGCGTGGACGCAGGCGCATACGCAGTAGACCTGCTCTGGGCAAGGGCTCGCGTGCTGGCAGTAATGGTTCTGCATGCCACTTCCAACATGCATGCCGTAGGTTTGCCATCACGGTCCTATAGCTTAGTCTGGATGAGAGAGGCTGCAAAGGCAGTTAAATGAGATCTGGCCCCCTTTTCTGTGTCTTTTTACCAAAGTTTGGGAATCAGACAGGGATATTTTTAAAAACAGGCAGTTGCTGGACAAACCCTGCTTTTATCACCCACTCTTGGCATTCTTCACTATGCCAGCATCTGAAAGGGAAGCAAGGTTAAAAAAGTGGTCAAAAAAGTCAAGATGGCAACCCTGGCCTTTTTGCACACATGAGTGTTTACATCGATGCTCAGAGACCTTCTTGCGTTTGGTATATGGGAAATTCTTTGATCTCATATAGAATAACAGAGTTGGAAGGGACCTTGGAGGTCTTCTAGTCCAAGCCCCCCTGCTCAGGCAGGAAGCCTTATATCATTTCAAAGGGTTGTCCAGTCTCTTTTTAAAAACGTCCAGTGTTGGAGTGCCATAACTTCTGGAGGCAAATTGTTCTATTGGTTAATTGTTCTGTCTGTCAGGAAATTCCTCCTTAGTTCTAGGTTGCTCCTCTCCTTGATTAGTTTCCACCCATTATTTCTTATCTTGCATTCTGGTGCTTTGGAGAATAGCTTGACTCTTTCTTATTTGTGGCAGCCCCTGAGATATTGGAAGACTTCTATCATGTCACCCTTAATCCTTCTTTTCATCAAACTAGATATACTCAGTTCCTGCAACCGTTCTTTGTATGTTTAGCCTCCAGTCCCCTAATCATCTCTGTTGCTCTTCTCTGCATTCTTTCTAAAGTCTCAACATCTTTTTTACATCGTGGCGACCAAAACTGGATGCAGAATTCCAAGTATGGCCTTACCAAGGCATTATAAAGTGGTATTAACACTTCATGTGATCTTAATTCTATCCCTCTGATAATGCAGCCTAGAACTCTGTTGGCTTTTTTGGCATCTTCAAAGAACTAAGCAAGAGTCCATATGTGTATTTTTTAAAAAGAAAATTGATAACAGGGAGATGTCACTCTGGCCCTTTGCATTTTGGACCGGGAAGAGAGGGGAGGGAATTTTGCCAATTTCCAGCAAAAAACACCTATTGGGAAGCTGGATTTGCTTAATGACCTCCATAAAAATTGTTATTATATCAGGTCCATTTCGACTTATGACAAAAGTTCTGATCATGATACTGGTCATAAGTCAAAGACTGTCCATATTTCTCTTTTTTCTAACACCTTTGGAATGTAATGCCCATCCCATTGTAGAAGGTGATGAAATTTTTCCAGCTAACTAAAAAACAAAAACAAAAAGCAGCAAACAGCTGGATTGGTCCATGGGAGAAAAAAATCCCAAATCTATAGCATGGATGGGTTTATCTATTGGGTTATACAACATGGATGGGTTTTTAAAAGTATTCCCCCTTGTATCCTGTATTGACAGCCGGTTTGCTCTAGTGGTTAAGGCATCCAGCTAGAAACTGAGGGACCATGAGTTCTAATCCTGTCTTATCACAATGCCAGCTGGATGACCTAGGGCCAGTCACTTTCTCTCAAACCACTTGTGAAAAATCTTGCCCAAAAAACTGCGGTCTCTGAAAATCAGACATGATTTAAAGGAAGAAAAAAAAATCCTGTACATATTTATTCAGGGAATAAATCCAAAGAAGAGCTGACCCCTTGAATGTTTAACCAAAATACCATGAAAAATGCTGGTTGGCTTATCCGTGGGTGGCACATTTTTCATACTATTTTGGTGAAACATTCAAGAGTCGGCTTATCTGTATATGAGCTTATATGTAAGTATGTACGGTATTAACCAATTCTGACACAGCTTATTGAGCTCAGCTAACAAGTAAGCTTAATCCAGCTCCTATCTGAGCAATGCCTTTATTAGGACTGGTTCAAATGTTTACAATTTATTTTGATTTATATAGCTGCCTCTTTTTACCAAAACAACTTTAGGAGGTGAACAGGGATGGACAACAATCTAAATTGGATTTTTTTTCAGCTGAGGCAATTTTAAGATAGA